GTGGAGCCTGCTTAAGATTCTCTCAACTATGGACTCTGAGAAACAAACTGAAGGTTTTGGTGGGGGGGATGGGTTAGCCCAGTGATGGGTATTAAAGAGGGCACGTACTGAATGGAGCACTGGGTGTTACATGCAAACAATGAATCACGGAACACTACATCAAAAACTAATGATGTAATGTATGGTGACTAACATAACATAATAAAATAAAATTTAAAAAAAAAGATTCTCTCCTGCACTCTCTCAAAAACAAACAAACAAACAAACAAATAAATAAATAAAACTTCCTTTAAAAAAAGTATTCAAAACTGAAATATTTAAACACTGATTGAATCTAAGAATTAACAAGCTGCCTCTTGACACTGGCTGAGGGATATATAACCAAGCATTTACATTCTTCACAGTGCTTCAGCATCCTTCTGTAAGAAGATGGATTGTTATAAACCTGGAACAAAGCCACCTAATATAGTACTCAGGCTTAACTTACTATAGGTTCATGGAAGTATCCCATAGATTAGGATAAGTAGTGTGACCTCATGGAAAACTAGGCTACACACCCCATAAATGGAGAATGTTCTTGTTCCCATTGGTCTTGAGGAATATTACTTGAAGCCTTCATTGCTTAAAGCAGTCAAGTCGCTATTTAACAGACATGATTCAGTTTAGACTGGTTGGGATTCTAGAAAAATGAGATCTTGTTATTTAAATACTGTTAATAAAAGATTGGAAAGAGCCTTTCAAATGTCTGACAGCTGCCTGATAAGGCTTTTATCCAGAAGTGGCCTCAGGTAGATGTGAAAGAAGGTACTAGTTTATGTCTGGAACCTTCACTCCCATGCTAAATCCTCCAGAACCATCTCCACACTCAACCTCATCCTGCCTTTTCCTGTACAGGGCTCAATGTGCATCTGGGGGACCCCAGCTGGGTCAGTACCCAAGAATATTAAAATACCTCCAAGAGGAATAAGATGGAGGTACTTATGCTACCAAATTTGAGAACTTCCGATAAAGCCATGGAAATCAGTATCATATGCTTATGGTCAGACACAGACAAATTACCTAATGGAAAAAAGTCATGTACACATGCAAATTTCTTTATAATAGTGCAACACATAGTGGATTTCTCTGGAAGAAATTGACCATTAGTAAGTTTCATTGGATACTTGGTTATCTAAATAAAAACTGAAATTAAATTATTACTTTATACCTTTCACTAAATGCTTAAATAAGAAAAATTGTAGAAGAAAATATAGGAAAATATTTTATGACATAGGGAGTAAGAAAAAATTTCTTAAACATGATACAAAAGGTATTAACATGCAGAAAAGATTGATAAATTTGGCAAAATTAAAATCAAGAACTGTGGTTCACCAAGACCCTGTAAAGAAAATGAAAATAAAAGTTCAAACTGGCCGAAAATATTTATGATGTATAAAATCAATAGAACATTAGTAATCAGAATACCTAAGAACTACAAACCAAATAGAGTATGTCAAATCAGTAGGAAAATTAGCAACATATAGAATAGGCATTATACAGAAAAGGAAATACAAATGTCCAATGAACTTATGAAAAGTTGCTCAGTCTTAATCAGAAAATGTCGTTTCAGACAACGACGAGATACCATTTTTGTATCACTAGATTGGAAGAAGCAAAGAACCTGTTAACATTTATTAGTGAGGACGTGGAATAATGGATAATTTTTACACACTGCTGTTATGAAAAAGTGTAAACTGCATTGTGATGAGCACTGGGTGTTATACGCAACTAATGAATCATTGAACACTACATCAAAAACTTATGATGTACTGTATGTTGGCTAACTGAACATAATTAAAAAAATTGTAAACTGCTATTATCACTTTGGCCGTGTGGCAAAAATTCCATTGTTAGACTACACTTAGAGAACTATGTCAGGAGGTGTGCATATAAGCTCCCTTTACCACATTGTTTGCAGTATCAAAAAATGAAGTTAATATAAATGGTTACTGATAAGAAAAAGATGCACTGTTGTATATTTTATGCAGTGAAATAGCACATAGCAGAGAAAATGAATGAAATATAGCTACATTGAAAAACTTCAATGAATCTTAAAAAAAATTATATTGGGTGAAAAAAGCAAGCCGTGTAGACAACTTTAATGTCACCATTTTTATAAACCTTTAAGGCAAATAAAATTAAAAGTTATATTCACTGTATATGGTTACATTATTTTTTAAAGCAGAAATAAATGCATAATCCAGGGCAATGGTTGCTTTTGAGTGAGGGGTAGACACAGGTGGATCCCTGGAAATAACATGGGGAAGCATGAGATATTGAAGATGTAAGCCTCTTGGCAATATTCTAGATCTTAAGCTATGAGTTTAGAGTGATTTGTTTTAATGTTTTGCTTCATAACTTACATATGTGTTCTATATTTTTCATATTTCAGATATTAAATAATACATTCTAAATAAAAAATGGTCCATTATAGAAAAGTACAAAACAAAATTTCAAAAAGAGAAGTCCAAATGTCAATGAAAATTCACGTCCCTCAAGAGGATGAAAAGGCAAGTCACGGACTGGGAGAAAATATTTGCAGAAGATGTATCTGATAAATGACTATTATCCGAAACATACAAGGAGCTCTTAAAACTCAACAGTAAGAAAACAACCCAACTAAGAAATGAGCCAAAGACCTTAACAGACACCTCACCAAAGAAGATACATGCAGATGGCAAATAAGCATATGAAAAGATGCTTTACATAGTATGTCTTCAGGGAAATGTCAATTAAAATGGGATACAACTAAGCATCTATTACAATGGCCAAAATCCAGAACACTGACAACACCAAATGCTGATGAGGATGTGGAGCAATAGAAACTCTTATTCGTTGCTGGTTAGAGTACAACATGGTATAACCATTTTGGAAGACAGTTTGGCAGTTTCTTATAAAGCTATCCACACTCTTACAACATGATCCAGCAATTGCACTCCTTAGAGTTGAAAACCGAAAAGAGTTGAAAACTTAAATTGACACAAAACCCTGCACGCAGATGTTTATGGTGGTGTAATGCATAATTGCCCAGACTTGGAAGCAACCGAGATCCTTTAGTAGATGAATGGATGAATAAAGTGGTACATCCAGACAGTAGAATATTATTTAGTGCCGAAAATAAATGAGCTGTAGAGTCATGAAAAGACATTGAGGAAACTTAAATAGGTGTCACTAAGGGAAAGAAGCTAATCCGAGAAGGTTCCACACCATATGGTTCCAACTCTATGACAGTTTCAGGAAAGACAAAACTATGGAAACAGTAGAAAGATCAGTGGTTTCCAGGGGCTGGGGCCAGGGATGAGTAGGTGGAGCACAGAGGATTTTTTAGGCCAGTGAAACTATTCTGTACAACACTGTAATGGTGAGTATGTATCATCATACATTTGTCAAAACCTATAGAATGTAGAATACCAAGAGTGAACCCTGATGTAAACTATGGATTTAGGGGTGATAATGATGTGTTGGTGAAAGTTTATGGATTGTAACAAATGTGCTAGTCTGGTGCGGGATGTTGATATGCGGGGGGGCTGTGCATGTGTGTGAGAATGGGGGTATATTGGAACTTTTTGCTGTGAACCTAAAACTGCTCTAAAAAATAAAGAGGTAATGTACTAGTGTTAGTTTCTTGATTGAATTGTGGATATATAAGAGGATGTCCTTATATATAGGAAATATACCCTAAAGGATACAGCACTGATAAGGCATCATGTCAGCAACCTGCACTCAAATACTTCAGGGGAAAAAAAATTGTACTTGCAATTTCTCTTTAAATTTTGAGATCATTTCAGAATTAAAAAAAAAAATTTTTTTTAAATGAAACCGATCACGATCAGTGTTCTAATGGGAAATGTCAGGGTTTTCAGGTTTTTTTTTTTTGTCTGCTTTTCTTGTTTCCCCAAGTTAGAGGCATGTAGACTCCTAGTCATTTTGCAAATCTGCAAGGCCCCAGGGGAGCAATTATTCTCAATCTGGTGTTCACTTCAGATGGCCACCTTTTCTTCAGGGCTGACTCAGGTTGCTGACCCAGTGAGTAAGAGCCTCCCCCAGGAGACAAGTTATAAATAGCCATCTGCCCAGGTGCAATTTTTTTTTTAAGGTTTCCATTTCTGTGTTCTAAAATATAGGGATGTCAGATATAGGTATGAGGGCATTTCAGGCCATTCCCAGTCAGGCAAAATGACGACAGTCTCAATCTGTCCATCATGCACCTTCCTTCCTCCCCCAGCGATGCTTTTAGCATTTCCCAACCCTCCTCGCCTCCAGTAAGCCTTCTCTGTCTGTGCCACCTTCCTTCCTGCATGGGCCCAACTCAGGCGGACCACCCTTCTGAGCAGCCAGAGTCCTGTGCTTACCATGGATGGTCTACTTTTTGGAACTTTCTGGGGTTCTTTTCTTTTCTTTTTCATGGTTGCACAAAAAGTGGTTTATTGCTTTTAGAACAAAATAAGATGCTTTCAGAACTTTTGTTAGTGAAGAAAAACTGTTAAAACTTGAAAACTTTTCTGAAACAGTATTTTGTCAGCTGAAGGAAGTTGGCACTTCAACGGAGACAACTTCCCACTTGCAAGTGTGGGGCCCGAGCTGTCCGTAGACACGGCTAACCTAGAAGCGGGGCTTGCACCTGTCGCCTGCATACTGAGCGTCAGGTCTGACCTCCCTGCCCTAATGTCCATGGCACTCCTTCTTATCCAGCACCCGCTCCCGGCTCTTCCTCACCACCCCGCACCTCGCAATTCTCTGTGGGACCCTGTTGAGGTGAATTTACTTGTGAGGTGTAACTTGTGGGGCGGGCAGGGAGCCAAGCTACTTTTGGGGTACCACAGGCTAGGATCAGCTCATGAGAGCCTGGCACCATCCAAGGAGAGCTAGAGGTCCCATGCCCAGTGCTGGCCTTCAGACCCTAGTCTGGCTATGGGGTCAGCAGGCCTGGGATAGACCAAGTGGGGGCTCCCAGCAACTACCGCTGTCTGAGACTGGAAAACAAGGCTGCCAGCTCATTGCAAGCCCCAACAATGATCCTCAAGGGCTGATCTTGGCCTCCAGCCCTGGGTGAGGAGAAAAGGGACCCTTCACAGTCCCATGGGAGAGAGGCCGGGGCTGGGTTTCTTTTCTTAATGGAGATTTACCTCTGAATATAAATTGAGTTTACTATAAGCCTAATGAACACAAGCTGGACTTAAATCTAGACATGTGTCTAGTGTGAGACTGAGTGGCTTTCCCCCTGATGGGAGAGCCTGCAGGAGGAAGGTAGAGGAACGTTGAGTTGGGTTTGGAGCCTTGGCTGTTGTAGGTGAAGCTACTGCTTGTAGGACTCTTAATTACCCCTGTCATGTGTCAAGCCTTCGGGAAAAATTGGTTTCACTTTATGGTTAAGGCTTGGATGTTGACTGTTAAGGGATGGAACAGTGAGCAAGAAGAGCTTCTCAACCAAGGCTGAGGGCAAAGTTAGGGAAAGTTGGTCATGAGAAGTAAACGGACTCTTATCTTTGTTCTGTTTTTCTAAATTTTCTGCAATGGATATACAGTGCTTTTATAATCAGGAAAATATAAATATTCGAGAACTATACAGATACACGGTCCAATAGTTAGTTGCATGGTGAGCGTTTCAGGTCACAGGGAGTCCCACAGGGAAGCTGTTTTTGGACGAGCATCTACAGAGTAGTAGATGCTCCTTTTTCTAATTCTAATGTAATAACACTAGATATAGACACATTTTTTGCTCTTGAAAAATAAAATCAAACTTGCCCTTTGCATTAATAATGCCCAGTGATGTCAGTTTTGAGAGCGTGATTGACAATGAAAAAGTAAATTCAATATAGATTCAGTGGTAACTTTAATGAGAAATTGTTATTTACTCCAGATACTAGTCCTGTACCAATAATGCAGTGAAAAGCTGTTGAATTTTCCTTAAAAGATATGTTGTGTTTGTTTCTAAGTCTAAAAGTGAGTCGCTATTTTGAATTAATTTTGCAACACTCTCACTTCATAGTTTTCCTTTTCTTCTCTTAAAGTTGGTCAAAAATTAATTGTGTCATTCAATTGGAGCATTAATATTGCAGGAGACGCCAAGGCATTCTGCAAACTTAGAGATCGTTTAAATGTAACTCTTGAGTTGGCTGGACACTTACCATTAATTATTTAGAGGCTTTTTGAGTTTTTCTATCAAAATCTTAGTCATTGTTTAAAATGTATCATTTATAGTTCTTCTTTCAGTTGCTCATTATTTATTCATGAAACTTACTTTGGGTTTCCGCTACGTGCCATATATGCTTCGGTAAATAAGAATTGGCACTTGTCTTCAGAGAGGTTACAGTCTAGGAGAGGAGATAAGATGCATATGAGAAATGACTATCCACATTAGACAGTGAGAAGTCCAGCAAGAGTTAAGATAGGTTACGTGGTGGTCGTATAGTGAGTGTGGTGGGGAAAGAGATAGTGAGGCTCTTCTCAGGGAAAGGCAGAATATGGAAAAGGAAGGAAGGCAAGAACCTGAGGTATGACGTGAGAACAGAGAGTAGAGGCTACAGCTTACACAGAAGAACTGTTATGGCCTCTGACCGCTCTGGTTTATGTAAAGTGAGTGATAGGTTTGTGGGCTTCATGGTTCGTGTTCCATAATAACCTCAAACCCGTTACAGTTAACAGGTAGGTTTCTGGGTGACGTGGTAGACATATACTAATAAGGTAGCCCTTTCACTTCGTTGGGAAATGGGCTTCATATGTTCTGTTCATGAACTATTTCACTCTCTCTCAGTCATTGATGAAGTAGGGTCCTTTTTTTTTTTTATCTTCACACCTGCGATGGTCAGTTTTACATGTCAACTTGGCTAGGCTACTTTCCCAGTCATTCAATTAAACAGTAGTTAAGGTGTTGTGGTGAAGGTATTTTGTAGATGTAAAGTCCATAATTGGTTGATTTTAAGGAAGGATGATTGTCCTAGATAATCTGGATGGGTTTGATTCAATCCACTGATATGTCCTAAAAGCAGAACTGAGGCTTCTCAGGGAGAAGAAATCCTGTCTGTGGACTGGAGCTTCAGCTAGTGCCCTTCCTGACACACCCCCAAACCCCCCATGGATTTCAGACTTGGCTTGCTGACTCCTATAGGCACAGAAGCAAATTCATTTCAGCAAATCTCTTAATATTTATCTCCTACTGGTTCTGCTTTGTTGGTTGAACTCTGACTGATACAATACCCAACATGAAGATTCTTACACTCCCTTTTCTAATTATGCTCCTTGGTTTCCTTTACTGAAAATTTCTCTTTCCTAGTGGTCTGAGAGATGTCAAATTCTCCAACTTTTCTTTTCCCAGGATTTGTTTATTTTATACTGTGAGCTCCTAAACTCATGATTTGATTTTTAACAAGTTAATTTTACTCTATTTCTTTATTCTTTACTATCTAGTGATTGTTGTTTCTAGTATGTTCTTTCTCTCTTTCATATCCGTCAGTTTCTGTTTTACTCCTAGGAATTAAGTTCTACAGGAGCAGGGTCTTTGACTGGTTCATTTATGTTTGCCAAGCACCAAGAACCAAGTGCCTGGCACCTAGGAGATATTCATTATATGTTTACTGAATGAATGAATGATATTTCTTTGTAAATATCCATCTTTACATTTATATGATGCTCATACGATGATAACATCATTACATAAAACATTTATTTCTGTCTTCACTGTGAAGTTTGTTGGTGGCAGGCAGCTGTTTTGGGTTAGCAAATCTGCTTCGAAGATCCAAACTCTCCTTTGGGTTTGTAATCCCAAGATCTAGACATGGGGTCAGATATAAGGTAACTAGTTACTGGCTGTAGATCTGAGCAATTCCCTCAATTCAGCCTAAACACAGGTAATTTAACCTCTGTTCATTGAATACCTGCATTTATCTCTCAATCAGTTCCAAACTCAGAGACAATTCAAGAGGGATTTATTAATTATATCCCCCAAACCCTGCAACATGCATTTATGGAACAAGTCTATTTTGGTTTTTGAGGGGAGAACCTATTGCTCTTCCAACATGAAAATTTTTGTTCTAGTGGGAACTGTCAATCATATAGTATTCAGTCCTTCTGTCCTCAAAGATGGGTGCACGACCCAAGTCAGAGTTCTTCTCAGGGATTTTTTTTTTTTTTAATTGGAGCTAAGGAAAGTAAGCCTGTTCTTCCCTTGTGTCATTCTGATATATTTTATATTTTCCTTCTTTTTCATAAAAGCTTAAGATAGTGATAGGCCATCTTTCTGCAAAATTAGTTATGAATTTTGGAAAGGCATCTGGAGGCAATTTTAGAGTTAATTGACTAAGCCTGCTATTGATCCTGTGGTGCCACCAATTGAAATGAGAGATACTAGGTTCAAAAAGGCCCCAGTGCAGATTCTTATAGAATTTTCTTTAGTAATGCCAAAGATGTAAGAGTAGGGAAGTGAGCTAGGAGGAGGTGAGCTAGGAGGAGGTGAGCTAGGAGGAGGTGAGCTAGGAGGAGGATTCCTAGCTAAATTTTAAACTTTCTAAGTGGTTCAGATAGTAAGCAATAAGATGTCATTCAGTCTGGATTGTTGAAAACAGATTCAAAGAGAATTATACCAGCCACTGTTTTCTGTCTAATAAACATACCAACTTTCTCAGGTGAATAATCTTTGGTTACTGTCCTTAGAAGCCTCCCTAGGATTTCCCAATCTGGTGCTACATTGGGCATCCTCTGGTAGTCTCTTCTCTTGGTTCTCAACTGAATCTGATGCTCACTCTGCATTTCTTTAATATCAACTTCTTCAGGCCATAAACCCTGCCGGGTACAATAATACCCACATTCTTTTACCAGACATAATATTACTTAGGTCTCTTTAGTGGTTTAAATCTTTCAAATTGTTCTCTGGTAATAAAATAGGAATGTATTTTCATTTGGGAAAACATAAAGATTTATAGTCTTTTGAAATACTGGGCTTGTCTTACTTTCATTCAATACAATATTTATCACTTTTGGTCATTAGAACATAATGTTCATCTCAAAGAAAGTCAATACTTTTATGTGCCTTTGAACATGAAGTGCTGTTAGATTCTAAAACTGATTCAAGTAGACAGTAGAGTGACTAAGCAATGGGATTTTGCCTCTTCTTTGAAAATCTCCCACTTGTAGAACTCTGTGATTTATGAGCCAAGCTGAAAAGGTTATTAATCTCTCTGGTAATCAGATAATTATAGCAAAATGTACCTTAGTGAGAACCTGGCAGAGGGATATTTGAAGTCAAGTGTAGGCAAAATCAGGGGAAACAAAGCAAACATTGAAGCCTTTCGGACGTATATAATCAAATCCATTTTGTTCAGAACGAGGAGCACAAAAGTGTCCCTCTCTTCTGGCCTGGTCTCTACTACCCCTTCTGTTCTTTTGACACTGGCACATCTTTTGTCAAATACGTTGTGAAGGTAGCATCATTCCTCCTTTCTTGAATGTCTGTTGCTTGCCTGGCACCGTGTTGGGAATCTGCTGCATACAAACATGAGGAAAGCAGTTTCTTCTGATGGGCAGCTTGTGATGTCCTGGGGGAGACAGGCATGTACAAAGTGTATAAGACAGATGTATTAAGTGTGTCCTCTTCTGCCTTGAGGAAAGGGCCAGCTATGGTGTCTCACACTGTTGAGGGATCTGAGCCTGGTGGGGCCACTAGAGGTGGGCCAGGAGGAAGGCTAAGGCTGAACCAAAATGGCTGCCATCCGAGACTGAGAGCAGATCTCAGGAGGGGACATAAAATGAGAAGCCTAGAGCTGGGGAGTGCTGGCATATGATGGACATGAGCAACATGTCAGGAAGAAGGCAGAAATCTACACAGAGGGTCACAGTTAGGATTCAGGTACAGAGATTTTTTTTTTTATTCATTGAAATTGTTTTTTTTTTTAACTTTTAAATTGAAATATACATAGAAAAGAGTACACAAATCATAAAATATACTTCGGTGAGGTCCAGCACCTGTGTAACCTTGAGCAAGGTCAGACCATAGAAGATTACCAGCACTTAAGAAGGACCCCTCCGCCACCACCCAGCAAACCCCCTCAGTCTTTACTATCTTCCCCCCACACACACTGTTCCCATATTTGACTGGTTT